ATGCTGTCTAATCAGCATCTTGATATGGCCACACCTGTGAGGTGGGATGGATTATCTCGGCAAAGGAGAAGTGCTCACTATCACAGATTTTTTCAGATTTGTGAACAATATTTGAGAGAAATGGTTATTTTGTGTACATAGAAAATGTTTTAGATCTTTGAGTTCATCTCATGAAAAATGGGAGCAAAAACAAAAGTGTTGCATTTATATTTTTGTTCAGTGTAAGTACAGTCCATTTACCCTCTGGAACTCACTCCCACAACCCATCAGAGACTGCCCTGACCACCTTCAAAAACCCACCTCTTCAATCTGGCTTGTAATGTGTGATTGTTTTTGTATTGCTTGATTTTAATTTGACTTTAACTATGTATAATATTTATTGTTCTTTTCTTTTCACTATATCTGTAAAGCGTCTTTGAGCACCTGTAAAAGCGCTAACAACATAAATCTATTATTATTATTAAGACATGAAGAAACTTATTTTCCGCTGCGCTCTAATTCATTCTTTTTGCCAGAAGTGACGTGACCCTCATACTAGATTTCTCCCAAAAGAACCTGAAGGGTTTTTGGTGTCATGCTCCAACAGTTATTTCAGTGTTAATTACAGACGGATGATAAAACACTGCTCAGATTCAGCCTCTTTCAGTTTTTCTTGCCTTGACTTGATTTTCTGTCTATGCTGATTCATAATGTTCTTTATATAAGTAGCTATCCTCGGACCAATTTTCATTTGGAGACACAAACAAGAGCAGCTAACGGATTGCCCATCCATCACAAGAAGGTGGTGATTCACACAGGAGAGGCCCCAAACGTTCTACCTCTGGTTTTGTTTCCTGCTTAAACATAGTTCTTCCAGAATTGGTGCTTTGGGAATGTTTATTTGCCCGTCTCAGTGTATTGCAGTGATCTTCGAACTAAATCCCTTTAACTAAACCGACTTAATGACAGACTGATCATACCTTTGAGGCAGTAGAGGTGGTGCCAGCGGAGGATTCTGCTTTGCCGAAGGGCATCTTGACCAGCAGTTTGCCCGGAGTTTTCTCGACCACACGTTTCATAGCCACGCCCTCCGTAGCCTGCCGCATCTTCCCACTGCCTACACAAACACAAAGAAAAATAAACATATCCAACTAAACACAAAGAAAAGTGTTCTTTCTTAAAATCTTTCTGTTTTTGATCTTATCTTACAACTTATTTCCTTATTATTTCCACGTGAGGTCGGCCCGGAGCCTAGGTTTTTAAATCAACACTAAAGACTCACTTCTTCTCCCTGGCCTTCTAGTCAGAGCGGAGCACGACTCATGACATTTCCCTGTGTTTGATTTTTATATTTGCTGTTGTAATTTATTGTCTTCTGTGGCGATCGCAGTAATGTGTTTTTTATTTGCATGTGCAGCACTTTGGCTCGACCAAAAATCGTTTTTAAAATGTGCTATATAAATAAAACCTGATTTGATTTGAGTGATTTGATTTATGTTGTTTATGTTTACACCACCAAATGTGAATTTTGCTAAGTGTTGGTTTGAATTAAATAACTTCAGTTTAAGTTTGTTTTTGTAAGTGCCTGATTACCTTTTGGACGCCCCCGTCCTCGACCTGATGGTTTCACCACCTTGACTTTCTTTGGGGGGCGCTTCTCGCGGCGGGAGGGACTTCCACGTCCGGTGACAGTGAAATCAAAATCGTTTGGGTCGGTGGTCGTGTCGCCGACCTTCTGGAAGTAGGCGATAAGTTCAACTTTGGAACGAAAGGCTTTACCGTCCGAGCTGAACAAAGAGAAATACGTTATTTATAAAAACGGTTTGATTCTCCCTCTCTTCATGAAAAAACAACACATCATAAGGTTTAGCTTACTTGATCAGGTAGACATCGAACTTCCCGGCTGAGCGACCAGACTTCCTCTGTTTGAGTTTGCGGGTCCAGCCTTCGGGCAGTGACGGGTCGTCGTACAGCGGCCCGCGGTCCCGGATCACAGAGCGTCGCTGCCTGGGAGAACTTGCTGACTCGCTGCCGGCCGCCGACTCTGATCCCGGCTCTGAGGGCCCCGCCACCGGCTCCTCTGAAGCCTGCAGGACGGAGGTGACATTAAAGGTCTCTTATTATGCTATTTTTAGGCATTTATTATGGGTCTCAGATATATATACAAATATATAAAAACATACGATGTGTTTTGCTCAAAATACAAAAATGGATCGTACATTTTAGACATCCCTCATATCCCTCTATTCCAGCCAGTTAGAGAAACGCTGATTATGGGTACTTAGCTTGAAAAAAACTAAATAGGAGGCGGAGCTAACGCCTGATCAGAATTCTACGAGATGCTCAGCTAAATGCTGCCGTGATTAAATGTCATATCTTGTTCCAAACCACACAGTATGGAGCTCAAATGCTTTTTTCTGTCTGGTTTACCACAAGGTGAGTTCCTTTCTATATTTCCTGCTTTTTTACATATAATCTCTCCGGTACATGTTAGCTCTGAGTGTTAGCGATGCTTGCTAATGTAAACAAAGACCATATTACGTCCAAAACAGTCGGGCATTGTTTCTGATAGGGCCGTGGGAGTAAAGCCAGCCCACATTCCAGATATTACGTCATATCGGACGCAAATCTGGATCAGCTCCGTTGTTCCCCCGTTTTTAGAGATTTGGGTACGGAGGAAAAGAGAGAGGGTTTTATCTTCTGACGCTTTATGAGTTCCCTGACACACCGGGGACACATATATGTATAAAAGACATGAAAAAGTGGATTTTGCATGACAGGTCCCCTTAAAACGTATTCTTGTCCTCAAAACGTTCATAATATGTTACGCTAATGTGAAAGAACTCCAGGACTCCAAAACCTGGGTAGCCACTGACTTCTGTTCAGAACCAGGATTCCTTTTTTAGTCCCACCGTGGGGAACTTTGCAGCGTTACAGCAAAAGTGGCACAAAAAGGCATGCAATAATAAAAAGTAAGCTAACTAATTAAATATAGAAAAGAACACATTAGTAATAGAATAAAAACAAAGACAAGTAGGTTCACATCCATGGTTAAATACGATGAACAGCAATGTAAAAAACTAAGTGACACGTTGTTGAGACATTATAAAAATGTTGGGACATTTAAAACAACGTCTGTTTTTCACATAAAAGTGATTATTGCACAGTATTGCAAAAAGATATCTATATTGCACATTGCAGGTTTATTGTTGTTACACCTGTGTTTACCTGTGTCTGTGGCTCCGCCCCCTTCTGTGGCTGCAGCACAGAGGCTGATTCTGTGCTCTCTGAATCTCGGTCAACATGGCGGCGCTCCCTGCGGTTCTTCTTGGTCTTACTGTGGGATCTTTCTCTCTCCCTGGACGGGGGCTGCGGGTCGAAGGGTTCGTCCTCACTATCCTCACTGTGGAAAAGAGATGACATCATGCCTGTTAAAATAACATCACTGATAACATGACATGGTCGTAGCTGTTCAGTGTTTTGTTTATTTAGCCGTAATTTCTCCTTTTGGACGGCAGAGTTGCATCCAGTAATCAAATCCGACTATCTCTGACGCAGTTACTTCCCTCCATCTCTACGTTTTTACAATGTAGGGCTGGGTCGTGTATGGTTTGACAAAAATATTTCCATATAGCTGATGCTGTGTGTTTACCCCTTTCCCTTGTTCATTTGTTTCCCAGTTGTTGTAGGGCCTGCTTTGGTTGTTTGATAAACTAATTAAGAATGATTGTGATCGGTGGTTGGCTTCATGAGGGCCGCCAACTCAAACATGATCAACAACTGTGTATCCTAGAAACCTTAAATCAGAGGTTATAATGTTAGCAGACAGACTCGATGTAGATCAGTCATGTTTTCATTTTGTATCAAGCCGTAAAAACGTTGTAGCATGAGGGAGTTGAAGTCATTTGCCTTACTTGGCATTGCAAGTAGTGCCATGAAACTTTTGCACATTGCGATGTCGCGCTGAAAATGTAGAGTGTGGACCTTAAACTGCATTTAGGTCAAACACTGTGATAACGGATCTGAGGAAATCGCAAATCAAAGTGAAATAAATGATATTGAAATAACATCTGTGATAAATACAACTAGAATAATATATTTTGAAATCATCGTTGTATTAGCTGCAACACCAGCTGTCTATAATTAGGAATAAAGGAATTATACCACATTTTAGAAGCAGGTAATAAGCCATAATGATTAATAATACAGTGCACTTTTAGCCTAATGAAAGCTCACTGAGAGCAGGGAGTGCAACAACGACCCTGTAAATAAAATAAAGCGGCATTCTTGATTAGGATTGCATCACAAACGGCATGCATGTAGTTTCCTCTTGTGATGAAACTGTTACCCCACAACTTTATTCAGTGGCATTACTAACCTAATTAATTATGCCAAAATAATTGATTAATCAAGGAAAGAATTGGCAGACAATCAATAGTGATAGGTGTAATCATTGTTAATTGCACATTATTTTGTACATGCCTCCTATTTACTGTCAGATGACCCCTCAGGTTCATCTGCCAGGTCTCAAATCTTTCTTTCTTTTTTAAATACATTTTGTAGTAGTAGTTTGTAGTTCACATAGTTAAAAAGTATGCATGTTATTCTTGCTTTTCTTCAAAAATATTTATGACCTGTCGTAGTTGTACAAAGCTTTGGCAATACATTATGTCTTTATGGTCATGCCAATAAAGCTAATTTAATTGAATGGTTATGATGATGAAGCTGCAGGTAGAGATGAAGCAGCAGGACAGGAAGTGAGCCTTTCCACTAACAAACCCACATGTACAAACACATACACACACACAGACACACACATTCGCATACATCATCAAAACACACATACACACAGCTGCCTTGCTCAGCGGCACTGAGGTACGTAGATAGATACTTTAATGATCCCAAATTGGGAAATACTTTTGTTACATCAGCAGTGTGTTAAAAGGTGGAATAAAGTATAAACATAATACAATAAATAATGAGCAGCAAATGTAAACATATCTTCAGTAGAAAAGATAAATAAAACACAATAAAAAATAAATAAAATGTTCTATAAAAGACCAAAATACGGCAGCATCAGAAATATAGATGTATACTACAGGAGCAGAGACAATTATACACATGGGATAGTATATTATTAGATGAGATAATGAGTAATAAACCAGGGGGGCGTATGGTATATAACGGGACGTGTGTGTGTGTATGTATGTATGTATGTGTGTGTGTAACAGGGAGGGGGTTAACACAGGTTATAGAACAGCAGTCTAATGACAACACACTCTCTGTTTTTGCTAACGACCTAGCATCCTGTTAGCTTCCTCTGTGTGTCTGACGGAGGCGGGCGACACACACAGATTCCCCGGCCCCGGCCTCACGTTTCCCGGGGAGTTGTGTAGAAGTCCGAGCCGGCCCGGCGGAGCACCGAGAGCGGGCTAAGAGCTAAAGCT